AATAGGTGGTGTGACTGACCATTTATGTGTGAAACACATTCCCTGTGTTTCACAGAATAACGGAATCACCAGGATTGGAGGGTGCTCAAAGATGCTCAAGTCAAAGCCCCTGCTCAAGCCTAGTCAACTATAGATGAGTGCTCAGAGTTGTGTCCAGTTTGGTTTTAAATATCTTCAAGGATGGAGACTCTACAACCTTTCTGGGTAATCTGTTTCAGTGTTGGATCACCTGCTCAGTAAAGAAATGTTCTCTTACATCAAGAGAGAATTTCCTGAATTTGAATTTGTGCCCATTGCCTCTTGTCTCCCTGGACACCTTTGAGAGGAGGCTGGCTCTGCTGTCTTTGTTCCCCTCATTGGGTATCTAGACCCACACTAAGACCCCTGAGCCTTCTCTCCTGCAGGCTGAACAGCCCCAGCCCTCTCAGACTTCCTATAACCAGTGCTCATCGCCTTTGTGGCCCTTTGCTGGACTCCAGTAAGTCCATGTCTGCCCAGTACAGGGAACCCAGCACTGGACACAGCAGCCTGGGGAATGGTGAGAGCTGTCTCACCAGTGCTGGGCAGAGGGGAGGAATCACCTCCCTCACACTGCGGGCAACACTTTTCCTAAAGCAACTCGGAAAGAGAGTGGGTTTATGTAACTATGTCTGAGGAAAGCAAGCAAAACAGCACAGAGCTGGGTTATAGGGACATGGTTGAACATTTTTGGTGCTGTCTTCTCAGTGGAATTTGGGTCCTTTTTCAGCACAAATAGGAGATCTTTGGCAGCACTCAGTTACTCTTCCTTAGGAACAGAGAGAGTTCAAGTTGTTTGCTCTTGGTCCCTTTGAGCACATGCCAAGGAGGCCAAAGGAGAATGAGAGCGGGGGAAAGAAGACTGGGAATGGAGCTGTGTAAGCAGCAGTTGGGGGGGTCTTTTGAGACCATTAAAAAGCAAACAAGATTCTGTAAGTCACGCTTTGCTATTCAAATTAATTTTTTTATTTCTTAGGTGTGTAGTTTAAATTTTATTTTGTGAAACTGTGCTCACACTGAGAGTTTACTGCTGGCAAGCCAAGTGGGAGAGGCAGACAATAAACCTGTGCCTGACTTGCTGTGAAATATTCTAGGGAAAAAGCCTTGCCATTGGCCAGGAGGCCTGGATGGTGATTGAGTGGAGAGCTTTTGAAACAACACAAGCACGTGTGGGACATGATAGCATTGCAGGAAATACATCAGGCAAACAACACCAGGCCTCAGAGCTGCAGGAGCTGTCTGGTGTGGGTCTCCTGAGGTGCAGCAAGGCAAAGAGCAGGCGATCCATCCTCATGCTGCCCCACCTGCTGCTGGCACAGCCTGCACTGCCTCAGGTCGGGGATTGGTGGTTTAATAAAATTCCATCTTTAAAATCTGACTTTTCTATGGGCCTGTAACAGCAGCAATTAAGGTGTTACTTAATGAAACACTGGAGTAGCCTACCAAGTGTTTCTGAAAAGCAATTTTCTCTGGATGGCTGACTGCCTTTTCAAGTGTTTCAGAAAAGTGATATGTTTTTAAACTCAACCTTCATTGCTCTTGCTACTTGTAGCACAACAGTAGAGTTTTAGTGTTATTCTTGATCACTAATTTGGATTGTGTTGTCCTTGCTAGTGTTAATAAGCATTCTCCTGCCAGAGCAATCTCAGTGGGAACAGACTTGATGTGGTATCTATAATGTGGCACCCACGTACCTGGTTCCTTGGTTATCAGGAATCTCTCCCCCACATGAAGCCTTTTTTTTTTTTTTCCATTTGTGATTTTTTTGCCAGAAAACACAACCGAGTATGAATAGCAGTGCTTGGATTGTCATATTGCATGGTTGGAAACATGGCACTTAGAAACAAATTTATAGTTGAAAACTATAAAATTTACTCAACAAAAAAATGCTTGAGTGATCTTTCCTCCTCTTGAAATCTTAGTGATTGTGCAGCTGTTCTCTCCTGTCTTTTCCTAAGGCATATTTGTAGATTTTCACAAGGAAAAAGCTTGTTTGGGAAACTGTGTTTGTAAGTTAATTAAAAATAGTTTTAATTTTAGAAAATTTAATGTGTTGGCAGTAGCATACTCATTGCTAATGGCTGATTGTACTTTTTCAATAATAATAAGAGATTCAATGAAGCTCTAGAAGATGTTAGGATATGATTAACTAGATAATCTATGTATTTGAGTTTTATTCCCAAATAAGATGGATCTCCCAGAGCCAGAAGTCTGAGTTTATATTTGATAATTACATGAGACTCTTGAGCTTTCTTGCAGATTGTAATTCAATTTCTCTAAGAAAAGCTCTTTAAGACATGAAGAAAGAATGAGTGCTTCTAATTCCAAGAAAGCATTGTGACCAGTTTGGTCAGTTTGCTTACTCTGTCCCAAACAGCCCAGCAGATTATTCACAGTGCTGTGCTGGAGCAGCAAATAAAGTACAGAACTCAAAAATCACCAATTATACCTTTCTCAAATACTGGTTTGGTTCTGTGGAAAAAAGTTTCTGAGAGTGTTTATTAAAATGTCAGCTGTGGTTTCCTTTACTATGAGATGTTCTGTGGTGAGGTACATCAGAAATGGCTGAAAGGTGTTTGACACTTACTGGACAACCTGTGACAGACAGGCAGCTGCCCAAAATTAAGGACCTGGATCACAGAGCCACAAAGCTGGTGGCTTGTTTCTCTGACTCTGATGATAGGTTATGTGTGGATACGTGTGTCTGTATTCATGTGTTCTTACACACATGCAGGCCCACTCCATGCTCTGTAGGTGTTGTTCAGGGGGTTATGTTCTCATCACTGAAAACAGCATAGGTAACTTTGGCAGATGTGGCTCACATTCACCACATCTGTTCTGTTCCAGCTCTCAGTGGTGCCAGGTCCAAGGGCTGTAAAGCTAACATGGATGAAGATAAAAAAGCTGCTATAACAGAAAAGTGGTCAGTCAAAAGCACCTGATTTTTGCCCATTGAGGATGCTTTTTTCATCCATAAGTATTGTTGAGTTAAATACTTATGGGGATATGAATCCAGGTGAAGAGTCAAGCAAAAGCACAACTGGTTAATTTAAGAGAGAAAAAAAATGCTTTTTGAATCTACCTAGTATAGTTGCTATAACTGCTGAGTATGTTTAGGGGTTTTCTGGAACCTAAGCAAAGCACCTTATGACTTCAAAAGGTAACAGAGTGTAAACAAAAAAGAGGAAGTAAACATGCCCCATAAAGAATAAAACAAATTTTAAAAAGTCACTGTTTCTTGTGAAACCTATCTGACTGGGAGCTAGAGAAATAACTGCTTTAGTATGCTTTAGTCTCCATGGGAATTAAATTCGGAATGTGCCAAACTGGGTCATGGTCATACATGAGGAGGTGGGAACTTCAGAGATAAGGCTGGGGCAGTTGCTCTAAATACCATAAATTGATGCAAATAATAAATACCAAAATGATGCAAACCCATCATTTAGTCAAAATAGCTGATTTCTGGACATCTGCATGTACAGTTTCACCTGTGGCAGTTAACTGGAAGATTGAGCTCTCACATATTTGTGCTAAGTTTACCAAAACGTGTGAAGAGGAGCTTGGCAGAGCCTCGAAGTAAGTTTAGATCATGGAGTGAGTTTAGACCAGGGGGGACCATGGCCAGAAGGGAGAGGGGCCATGAGGTCTTTCAGGAACAGACCTGGTGCTGCTGGCACTGTGGCATCAGGGGATATGTTCACCACACACAGAGGAATTATTAACTTTGTACCTGCTCAAGGAATGTTCCCATAAAGAAATTATATAAATGTATTGATTTGTTGGAACAGAACAATGTATGTCCTTCTGAGGAGAAAGAAACTTCTGCTTTGAAATAGGGGAAGATGCCAAAAGCAATAGATTAAAATTGGGAATGGGTGGTGATATGGACTAGAAATCCATGCATTCAATGTGGTGCAGTCATTAGACACAGATGCTAAACTGGAGATAAAAATGGAAATGCAAATCTGGGCTCTGGAAAGAAATTATTCATTGCTTTGCAGTTCTCTACAGGACAAGTTAAGTGCTGTCTGTCATCTGATTAAAAAGTAACTGAAAGATATATGTCATGAAAAAACTGTAGCGAAATGGGAAAATGTTAAAGATGAGGTTTTCTCTGAAGTTCTCTCAAAGGATACCTTTGGTCAAATGTCAAAGCACCTGAAAGTATCTCAAAGGGCCAACATGAGTAGTACTGAAATTACTGTATTTGTCTATACACACACGCAAATTTTGTATTTCTGTTTAATATTTTAAATATATACAAAATGTATATAACATCCAGTGATTATTTTCAGAGTTAATGACAATGAAATATAAACAGTGATGGTGAAATGTAAACCATCTAATGTTTATCAATTATGTATTAAATATATAAATAGACATCTGTTTGTACATATGTGTATTATGCATGTATATGTACAAATGCATAAGAATTAAATTTGTTTTTCCAGTTTGGTTTCATCATTTTTTAAGACCAAGTTTGTGGACCCTTGCATTGCTTCCTCCCAGTGGAATACCTAATGCTGTATGTTACAAGCCTGTCTGTCCACAGCCTTGGACATGTGAGGAGTAGCTGCTAATGTGGCTGTCATATCAGAAGATATTTTCAAGACAAAAATAAAGAGGAATTCTGTAGACATCCCTGAATCTGTGAATTTTTTTTTGTTACATTCAAAGAAAAAAATAAGTAATCTTTTTCAATCTTACTGTAAAGAAAAGCTGTAAATTGCCTAATTTTAAGGCAAATGGATGTAGTCTGTCTCCAGGTCTTTAATTCCTAAATTAAGGAAGAATGTTGCCTTTTTCACTACTTTCAGCCTCCAATAATTAAGCACAACTTAGGTTCATGTTCACTAGCAAATCTGTGAGTTGCGTTTGACTGAAAGCAGCAGTGAATACAAAACAATTGTTCAAGTTATGTGGCTATTTCCAATTTAAAATGTTCACATTTGGCTAATTGTATTCATTTATTTCTTCCTAAGGCAAAATGGGGAAACAAAATAGTAAGCTGGCCCCTGAGGTGATGGAGGATCTGGTGAAGAGCACGGAGTTCAATGAACACGAGCTAAAACAGTGGTACAAAGGGTTTCTAAAGGACTGTCCAAGTGGTAGACTGAACCTTGAGGAGTTTCAGCAGCTCTACGTAAAAGTAAGTTATTTACTGAGTTATTTGTTAACTTAAAAGTAAGTTATTTGACTGTAGAAAAAGTTGTGAAGCAATGTAAAGCAAATGGTCCAGAGCTGCTGGTCATTTAGACTGAGGAATAACTTTGCTTGGAGAAGCAATGGTGAAGGTGAGGCAATGAGTGGGAAGTGTTACCCTCTTCACACCCAGTGATTTGTGTAACTATAGTGACAAGAGCCAAAAGTTTAGGAAAAAAACTGTGATTTATTCACAAGAATTATAGTACATTCTCTGTGCTCTGAAATTCATGACGTGAATTTCAAATTTTAAAGGTGATGTCATTCACCTTCAAAGGATGGCCATGGTCCTGTTCAATATATACCATGTGATTTCTGGACATATTTATATAAAAGTGGTGAAGTTTCATGACAGTATGACCTGCAGATAAATTATGCACTGTGCACAAAGGATTTCTCCTACAAATTTTAGGTATTGCCTTTATTTTTTCCCTGCTGTCACTTTTTTTTCTCGTTTTATTGGGAAGGGAAAGCAGGCTGATCTGTTTATTTTCTTCTTATTTTTCATTACTTTGTCATGTTCAATGCAGTCTTTCCCTTACATTTATTATGTATTTATTCTGTAACGAGAAGAACATGGGGGAAGCATAAAAAGTGTATTCATGTTACAAAGATAATTATATTTTAATTCAGAATTGAGTGTCAACCTAAAGGTCAGACACTTCAAAGTAATGTTAATTAGGACAAATACTGAATGGCAGTGATGAACTGTAGGATCAGAGCAGCTCATAAATACAATGTGAGGCTGAATAAAAATAAAGCAACCTTTCAAATGTAAGTAGTTACTACTGAGCACACTGGCAATTTTTGCAGACAAATGGGACTGTTGTTTTCCTCAAATGCACACTGCAGTTCTTTCCTAAATTGCTTCAGCGTTGAACCAGATCACTCTTCAAAGTATTACCTAGACCCTTTTCCTTTCTAATCAATGGTTCTAGCATAAACTTCTAATTCAGCTTGCACAAACAAGCTTCTGTCTTCATATTTTAATATTCATGGCTGAAGAAGATGTTGCCTCACAATCCTATTCTTAAGAAACAAATGAGTTTGTAATTAATTATATTTTCAGATGAAAGAATCTGTACAGCCTCAGGTGTTGTACTTGTTATTAACTGATAATTTATAAGCTCCATTTGAAAGAGTATTCACTGCACATCCAACAAGAGCAGACATCCAGTAGTTTCTCATACTTGTTTCTGGGCAAAGTAAATAGTCCTTAAAAAATTCTTAATAAAGTTGGTCAACTCTTCAGAAATAATTTTTTCTTTTTGGAAAATCGCAGTAAAGGTGTTTTCTGGAGATTTGTTTTGTTTTGTTGTTGTTGTTGTTGTTGTTTGTTTGTTATGGGGCTTTTTTTGGCTTTGTGATTGTTGTGGATTTGGGTTTTTGTTGTTGTTGTTTTGGTGGGATGGTGGTTTGGGGGGGTTTTTTTTATGATTTTGTATGCTGTGAGGAAAAACATCTGGAAATAACTCAGAATTCCCAGGACTTCCTTCCTTCAGACAGGTGTTTGAAGCATTCATAGATATTTTGCAAGATACTTTACTTGTGAAGATGCATCAGGAAGTAAATTCAACCTCATGTTTGCAGAGATGGTAGTGCAAAAAAATAACATGAAGAGCACAAGCAGTATTTTACTCCTGAACTTTGAAGACAGCTTTGTAATCTTGCTAAGCTGCAATATCCAGCTTTTAGTTTTATGACCTCATGTATCTTTAGACATGGACATGAAATGTGATTCTCTGCCTTGCTTTGGTAGTTGTGGGGTTTGATTTTTGCTATGTAATGGCACTGCCATATATTTATTCCAGTTTATTGTCATCCTATATTTAATGTCTATTCAGGGCAAAATACTAATCTTGCAAGGAGAAATATGATTAGCTGTAGTAAATCCAGAGCTTTACTTCTCTCTGTGTCACAGAAATACTTGTAAAATAATGTCTCTGAGGAGCTCATAGTCTGAGTGTTGGCCATGGTGGCAATTTCTTCTGTGAAGGACATTCTGTCTACCCCAGCTTCTGGCTGCAGATAAACCCCCAGATGTGACATTTGATCTTTCCAGGAGGAACCACCAGCAGGAGACCCGAATCATTATCATTACATTTATAGCATCTCACTTCACTTAAAATATATTCAGGGCGAAAAAACATGAAGCATGTATTGATTTGTAATTCTTCTGCATAAACTTCTAGATGACATTTATCTGTTTGTCTGAACTGGATTTTATTGAGGAGGGTTTCCACAGATCAATATATTTTGAAAAGAAATACAAGACTTTCTTCCATTTCCAATTCATGTTGACTTAAGGTGACATTGTTTCTGTGTTTGTGAGAGCTGTGGGGTGCATTTTCATGTGTGTTGATAGAAAGGTGTTGGCCATCTAACTTAGGTGCAAAGGAAACTCCTTTATTTTTTACTAATACAGAACAGAAAATATCCTCAGCTTAAACAGAAAAAACATTTTATATTAGCAATACTTTGAAGTGCATTTCCTGGTAATTTGCACTTCTCTTCCATCAGAATTACAGAGTAGGATGCACAATCTTAGGGCATAGAAACTGGTTTTGGTTTTTTTATGAAACATAACTAGGTGTGTCCTGGGATCACACCTAATGTGTTACTGTATCTAATTGCTGCTAATCAGCTTAAGTTGGTCTGAAAGGGAATGTCCAGAACAGGTGTGGTGTGGATGTCAAATCCCAACATGAACCCTTCCAACTCTACATATTTGCATCAATTGTACTGTACTGTTTACTGATGTAGATGAAGACTGTATTGACTAAAGGGGGAATTACTCTAGTTTGGTTTGGGAACATTTGCTATTGAAGTTTCCATTATGAATACAAATCATCCAGTGCTTAAAATAAATAGCAGTTTCACCAATGGACTCTACAGAAAAATTATTTGCAGCACTTTTAATGCAAGTGTCTATAAGAATATTTAGCCAAGAATACCTCTTTTAAACAAGCAGCTAATAGGCAGAAATATACTTCATATTGTTGCATATTTAACATTTTCTGCAGTATAGTAGGTTCATTGAAAATACTTGTCCATTTTTGGGTAGATAGATTCTTCTTGGGATACAAAATCTGTGGCAAACTGTTAGGGCTTAGGTTTCCCTCCATGGTGCTGCATGAAGTGAATGCTTCTGCAGTTTTTGTAATAGTTTATTGAAGAGTTGGTTATATACTGCAAGCTTAGAGCCACAGAGTCCTAAATACTGAAACACTGAGTTAGCTGTCCTGACAGTCTGCACAGAGCATGGGAGGTGGAGAAATCTGTGGATAGCATTCTGAGGAAGCTAAAACTCAAGCCAATGCTTTGTAAAGAGACATGCAAAACCACAAGGCATTGCTCAGGACAGGAGCTGGTGCTAAATTCTAAGTGTCTCCAGGGTATGGGAGTTACATCTTCCTGCTGCAGAGAACTATCTAGAACAGTAGAAAAGGCAAAATCAACTGACTGGCGTCCTTTTCTTTCTCTCTTAAGTGACAAAAATAATGTAATTGCCTTACCTTTATCACAGTGGTTTATGTACTCCCTAAGCTGTAGAAAACTAAATCAGTTAGAGGAAGAGCACTGCCAGCAGGTCGAGGGAGGTCATCCTGCCCCTCTGCTCAACCCTGGTGAGATGCACCTGGAGAGCTGCATCCATTTCTGGGCTTCTCAGGGCAAGAGAGAGATGGAGATCCTCAAGCAGGTCCAGCAGAGGGTGACAAAGATGATGAAGGGACTGGAGCATTCTGCCATGTTGAGAGAAGGAACAGGCTCTGCTCCGTGGTACCCAGCAGTAGGTCAAGAGGCAGAAAGTGATGCACAGGAAGTTTCTCGCAAATATGAGGAAGAAATTCCTTACTGTGCAGTGACCACACACTGGAACAGGTTGCCCAGAGAGGCTGGGGAGTCTCCCTCACTAGAGATATTCCAGAACCCTCTGGGTGCAGTTCTGTGCCATGTGCTCTGGGATAACCCTGCTTGAGCAGAGAGGCTGGACCAGGTGATTTGCTGTGATGTCTTCCAACTTTATCCGTTCTGTGAATTATCATGTCTCTGTCTGAATCTGCACTGCTTGCCCTCTCATTTATCTACCTGTGATGAGATGTGACTTTCTGGGCTGCTGGCAATATCCCAATTAACCTCTTTTTCTGTAGGAAATAGCATCAGACAAGCTGAAACCTAAAATTTCCTTCTTCAAAGAGAATACCCTAACTGTTAAGCTTAATCCTTACTAGCTGTCTTAATTTTCCTTCTTCTCTCCTAAAAAGTCCTTAATTCTTTTATCTTGCATAAAACTTCATTGTCATTGCAGGCAGAGAGCTAAGAAATTAATACACAAAACTGTCATTAAAATAAAAGATACCAATAAAAAACTCTTGAGTGTTCCTATCGTTCTTTAGGGTTTCTTGCAGTCTAAAGGGCCAAATACATTTTCCTTCAGATCTTTTGAATTCACTGGGTTTAGATGAATATGCCCTAGAGTGTGTAAGTGTGCATAATCACTGCTAATATTCACAGGAATTATGCATGTTTATTAAGTGGAAAATAGGCTTCTATATTGTGATACTCCTTGGAACTGGGTCACTGAACACGAGAAGCATATCTCTGCTCTAATAGAAACAAGCACCAGTGGTCCTTTAGCTGGAAGAGTAGAGTAAGGAATGATCATAATATAATGCTAACATTAATAAAGTAACTTACTTTGTGAATTTATTGCCCCTATATTATTTAGATATGTTTTGGAGTTTTATAGATAACTTTTAAATGAAAGGGGGGGAAAAAAAATAATGCTATTTCATTAATTGGAATCAAATGGTTTGTCATATTTTTGGCTTCTATCTCACATTTCCGGCCTTGAAGGGAATTGATTTTTAGTCCTTAATTTTAAATACATGTAGAACAAAAGAATCTCAAAAATCTATTGAAATTTAAGTGTGTATATTTGCAGCC